TTAAGCGACTGAGGGGGAAAAGGTAAAAGGAAAAGGAAAGGGCCTGAGTCTGTTAGGAATTGTGGGAGTTGAAGTCCAAAACACCTGAGGGCCCAAGTTTGTCCATGCCAGTACTATTCCACAGTTGCACTAAAATCCAACATTTCTGGTATGAAGGCGTTGAGAGTTGTAGCTGGATGCTATGGAATAACAGCACTATGGTACTAGGTTTCTATTCCTGAGTTATAAATAGCATTTCCTAATTGGTTCTATCATAAAAACTTGGAAAATGTATTACTGAAGGCTTTCATGGCTGGAATCATTGGGTTGCTGTGAGCTTTTCGGGCTGTATGGCCATGTTCCAGAAGCATTCTCTCCTGACGTTTCACCTGCATCTATCCTCAGAGGTTGTGAAATCTGACCTGCCATAGATGCAGGCAAAACGTCAGGAGAGAATGCTTCTGGAACAAAGTCATACAGCCCGGAAAACTCACAGCAACATGGAAAACTGACAAAACTTTATTTTCACTGGAGAGACATCTTGTAGCACATTTTGCTATGGTTTCTCTTCGATTATCAACCAATTCAGTGTCCACAAAAACGAAGTTTCTGGAGTATAACAACTACTTTCAAAGTAAGCACTGCACAATTAAACAGGAAATAATACTTTCAAACCAGGAACAGATTTTTTTTAAATGTTATTTAGTGTAATAAGGCCGCTTGATCTACTTACTTTTGAGTAAGACATCCCTCCTCCCAAGTCTCCAACCAGGCTCACTCTTAAGTAAGCATGGAATTACACTTTGGTGCCTCCTTTTGGACACACTTTACAAAACGGTGCAAATTATAACCCAGGCAAGGCCTTTTTGATGGTCTTCATGAACTTCTGATTTTGTCGGATTTCCTACACAATGCCCTTGTAGCATTTAATTAGGAATTAATAGGAACTTCATTTGTGGGTCACTGATAATTATCCAGCAGGACTAGAGCCTTGAGAGCCTGGTTTAAAACATCAAGGGCAGAAATCCTAGAAGTCAGACTTCTTGGCATAGTAAGAGCTCTGGAGGGTGGTAAATCTACACTGCAGAATTAATGCAGTTTGACACCACTTGAGAAACTACTGCAGTTTATCAAGTCGCTCCTCACACACAAACAATTATATGCAGTGAAATTGTGGGAGTTGTAGTTTGACAGGGTTTGTAGCTTTCTCTGCCAGAGGGCGATTCTACACTGCCATATAAATTGGGTTGCTGTGAGTTTTCTGGGCTGTATGGCCATATTCCAGAAGCATTCTCTCCTGACATTTTGCCCAGACATTCTCAGAGGTTGTGAGGTCTGTTAGAAATTAGGCAATAAGTGGGATTTATGTTTATATATCTCTGGAATGTCCAGCGTGTGAGAATGGACTCTTGTCTGTTTGAGGCAAGTGTGAATGCTGCAATAGATCACCTTGATTAGCATTGAATGGACTTGTAGCTTCAAAGCTTGGCTGCTTCCTGCCTGAGGGAATCCTTTGTTGGGAGGTCTTAGCTGGCCCTGACTGATTCTTGTCCGGAATGCCCCCCACCTTTTTTTTGAGTTGCTCTTTATTTACATTTTTGGCATTAAGAGTTTTTTTAAAAATACTGGTAGCCAGATTTTGTTCATTTTCATGGTTTTCTCCTTTCTGTTGAAACTGTCCACATAGTTTTGGATTTGAGTGGCTTCTATGTGTAGTTTGACATGGTAGTTGTTAGCATGGTTCATCATTTCTGTGTTCTCAAATGATATGTTGTGTCAGTTCATCATGTGCTCTGATTATCCAGGCGATCTGATTTCAACTGGATTATGTAGCTGTGTAGACTCGTATAATCCGGTTCAAAGCAGATAATCTGTGTTCTGTACCGCCGTGTAGAAAGAGCCTGAGAGTGCTTGTGCCTCACCCATCTGTCCCTCCCAGGATTCCATAGCATCCGGCAGTTAAAGCGGAGACAAATCGCATTAATTCTACAGTGTAGTCACACCCTCAAACCACCGGATTGCTTCTCTACCCGCATCGAAGGTTACAAATACGTGGATCCAGTTCCCCACGTTATTATAAGAGGGAAAACTGAGCCTCCTTTTACACAGCTGAATAAAATCCCACATTTATCTGCTTTGAACTGGAATATATTTGTGTCGAAGGCTTTCATGGCCGGAATCACTGGGTTGTTGTAATTTTTTTCGGGCTATATGGCCATGTTCTAGAGGCATTTTCTCCTGACGTTTCGCCTGCATCTATGGCATGCATCCTTAGAGGTAGCGAGGTCTATCTCTGAGGATGCTTGCCATAGATGCAGGCGAAACGTCAGGAGAAAATGCCTCTAGAACATGGCCATATACCCCGAAAGAAACTACAACAACCCACTGGAATATATTTATTTATGTATTTATTTACGCTGCCTTCTCACCCCAAAGGGGACTCAGAGCAGCTTACAAGACACACACACACATGCACACACACATATACATATATATGTACACACACACACACACACACACACACACTCACACACAATATATACTATATTATTAGCAAAGCACAATGTTACTATATTGTACTATACCATTGTACTCTAATATTATTAGTAATATTACATATAATATAAATATATGTAATTATAATATCAGATTATTATTAGTATTATATTGTATTACATTATAATATTATATGTATATACAATATATTATATTATATTATTAGCATAGCACAATATCAGTCTATATATATTAAATACATGATTAAATCATATTATTATATTGTTTTACAATATAATATATGTATATATTATATTATTAGCATAGCACTATCAGTCTTATATGTTACTATATTGTAGTATACCATTGAACTGTAATATTATTAGTAATATTACATATAATATAAATATATATAATTATAATATATTATTAGTAGTATTATATTGTATTACATTATATCATATGTATATACAATATATTATATTATTAGCATAGCACAATATCAGTATTATATATTACTATATTGTACTATACCATTGTACTGTAATATTATTAGTAATATTACATATAATATAAATATATATAATTATATATTATTAGTAGTATTATATTGTATTACATAATATATGTATATACAATATATTATGGAGCCCCCGGTGGCGCAGTGGGTTAAAGCACTGAGCGCAGGTTCAATTCCGGGGAGCGGCGTGAGCTTCCGCTGTCAGCCCTAGCTTCTGCCAACCTAGCAGTTCGAAAACATGCAAATGTGAGTAGATCAATAGGTACCGCTCCAGCGGGAAGGCATGACTGCGCTCCATGCAGTCATGCCGGCCACATGACCTTGGAGGTGTCTACGGACAACGCTGGCTCTTCGGCTTAGAAATGGAGATGAGCACCACACCCCAGAGTCAGACATGACTGGACTTAATGTCAGGGGACTACCTTTACCTTATACAATATATTATATTATTAGCACAGCACTATCAGTATTATATATTACTATATTGTACTATACCATTGTACTGTAATATTATTAGTAATATATATAATATAAATATATCTAATTATAATATATTATTAGTAGTATTATATTGTATTACCTATGTATATAGAATATATTATATTATTAGCATAGTACTAACAGTCTTATATGTTACTATATTGTAGTATATCATTGTACTGTAATCTTATTAGTAATATTACACATAATATAAATATATATAATTATATCATTATTAGTAGTATTATATTGTATTACATAATATATGTATATACAATATATTATATGATTACTATACCATTGTACTGTAATATTATTAGTAATATTACATATAATATAAAATATATGATTTCATCATATTATTATTATATTGTATTACATTATAATATCATATTATATGTAATGCAATATTATATGTAATTTTGTTGTCTGTATTTTGTATTTGATTCGGTTGTATTGTACCTTTGGGCTTGGCCTCATGTTAGCTGCCCCCCCCCCCCAGTCCCTTTGGGGAGATGGGTGGTGGGGTATAAATAAATAAAGTTTATTATTATTATTAATATATTATATTAGGTTCTTGTGGGTTTTTTCGGGCTATATGGCCATGTTCTAGAGGCATTTTCTCTTGACGTTTCACCTGCATCTGTGCAAGCATCCTCAGAAGTAGTGAGGTCTGTTGGAATTAGAGGCAAGCATCCTCAGAGGTAGTGAGGTCTGTTTTCTGCTTCCCTGGAGACCAGGACGCGAAACAATGGCTTCCAACTACAAGAAAGGAGATTCCATCTGAACATGAGGAAGAACTTCCTGACTGTGAGAGCTGTTCAGCGGTGGAACTCTCTGCCCCGGAGTGTGGTGGAGGCTCCTTCTTTGGAAGCTTTTTAACAGAGGCTGGATGGCCACCTGTCAGGGGTGCTTTGAATGCAATATTCCTGCTTCTTGGCAGGGGGTTGGACTGGATGACCCATGAGGTCTCTTCCAACTCTATGATTCTATGATTCTAATTAAATGGGTTTATATATCTGTGGAATGACTGGGGTGGGGCAAAGGGCAAAGAGCTCTTCTCTGCTGGAGCTAGGTGTGAATGTTTCAACTGACCACCTTCATTAGCATTTGAAGGCCTGGCTGGGCCTGAGGGAATCTTTTGTTGAGAGGTATTAAGATGTGCCTGGTTGTTTAATATATTATATTATTAGCATAACACAGGAGACAAGAATATATGTCAGTGTGGACTCGGATAACCCGGTTCAATGCAGATATTGTGCAATTTTCTGCCTAGATATTCTGGGTTTTATGTCTGTGGAAGGGCTTCCTGGGATCCACGCGAGTTGCCCTCTCCATTGATGCCACTCCGGCTCCAAAAGCCAGAGCAGAGCGCGCGGCGAGAATGAGGCGGAGCTTCGACCCGGTTCGCTTTCCGATTGGTTCGAGATCTTCCTTGGCTCCGCCTCTCTGGGAAGCGCACCCATTCCCGGCCCTTCCTTGGGGCGGAGCTATGCAAATGAGTTTCCATTAAGGGCGGCTGGGGAGGCGCAAGCGAAGCCCAGTGGCTCCTTCTTTCCCAAAGGCTGGAGAAGTTCCCTCGGCGGCAGCGGCTCCTCTTCGCCTCTATGCCCGGCCTTTGAGAGCGGCTGCGCTTGGATTTACCGCGCTTGGGCTGCGACGCCGAGACTTCCGACTTTTCCCTCCTTTCGGGTTATTCATTTTTCCCATTTTTTGGGGGGGGGATACTGGACGCCATGTTGTGGAAACTAGCCGACAATGTCAAGTACGAAGAAGACTGCGAGGTGAGGCTTCCAGGTTTCTAGTCCTCATTGAGGACGGGAGCGTTATTATAATTTTGCCAAGTTTTAGCGGGGTTTAGACTCTTGGAAACTCTTGGTAGGAATACAGAGCTTCCTTCGTTTAGTATTAACAGAAAAAGTGTAGAAATTATAATTATTTGGTCGTTGGGGGGCGAGTCTCCTTAAAACCGGTGATGTTTGGACTTCTATGGAAACTAAATCCGAAGTAACTGATGGAGGTGTTACAAGTAGTTCGTAAAAAGTGTATAAATGATAATTACCTAGTTTTTGGGGGGTGAGTCTCCTTAAAACCGGTGGTTTGGACTTCTGTGGAAACTCTAAATCCGAAGTAATTGATGGAACTATAAAAGTAATCCTTGAATGCTTGTGTTTCGACCAAATATGTTTAGAGGAGTTGAATGCAACTTCTGTTTGGATAGGAGGGAAGGGAAGCTGCAACAATTACATCCAAGCACTTATTGCCTCACAAGAGTGTCTCAATGTTAAAGGTTATGGGTTGCTGTGAGTTTTCCGGGCTGTATGGCCATGTTCCAGGAAGCATTCTCTCCTGACGTTTCGCCTACATCTGTGGCAGGCATCCTCAGAAGTTGAGGGATAAAGTTTATAATTTCTTTAAACTGAATTCAGTCAAACGCATTCAGTGGAATGAATGCGGTTTAATACCTCTAACTGCTCAAAGCTATGGAATAATGGGAGCTGTAGATTTAACTGCTCAATGCTATGTAATAATGGGACTTGTCGATTTCCAAAGTATTTAGTCTTCTCTGGTGCCTCACCAAAGTTAGAAATCCCAGGATTTCGCAGCATTGGTTAGTTAAAATGGTTTAGTTTCGAACCGTATCAATTCTACAGTGCAGATGTACCCCCAAAAGGAAGGGACTCCCAAATCCTCCACATGGTCAACACTGAGGGAAATTGTATTGATTCAAGAAGGGTTACCACCAATGGGATTCAGACAGTTTTCTCTTCCTCCCAAGGAAACATTTTTCTGTGTTTCCTCGCTCAGGGCTCTTCCACACAGCCTTATGTCCCAGAATATCAAGGTAGAAAATCCCACATTATCAGATAACCCAAATCACAGCAGATATTGTGGGATTTTCTGCCTTTGATATTCTGGGATATAAGACTGTGTGGAAGGGCCCCCAATCTAATAGCCTTTTAATTTAGAAGAGAGGAGGAAATGTGAGATCTAGAGCCCTTCCACACAGCCATATAACCTAGAATATCAAGGCAGAAAATCCCACAATATCTGCTTTGAACTCGGTTATCTTAGGACCCTTCCACACAGCCCTCTATCCCAGAATATCAAGGCAGAAAATTCCACAATATCTGCTTTCAAGTCCACACTCAGATAATGTGGGATTTCTTGCCTTGATATTCTGGGATAAAGGGCTGTGTGAAAGTCCCATGGATGTCAAGTCTTCTCTTACAGTTAGTCTGAATTCTATAAAAAGCAGCTCTAACGTAACTTTTTAACTTCTCCTGGTTCATATTTTGTGAATTTACCAATGCATTGTATCTTTGCCCTATATATGTGAATCTTTAGTCTCTTGGGCTGAATCTGCAGGGCTATACAATGCAGGTGGAACTCTTTAATATGGGGTATCTTTGGGTCCTTCCACACATCCCTATATCCCAGAATATCTAGGTAGAGAATCCCATAATATCGGCTTTGAACTGGGTTATCTGAGTCCATACTCTGATAATGTGGGATTTCTTGCCTAGATATTCTGGGATATAGGGCTGTGTACAAGGGCCTCGAGTACTATTCTGAATATTTTGGCCCCTTCCACACAGCCACGTAACCCAGAATATCAAGGTAGAAAATCCCACTGGGTTATCTAAGTCCACACTCAGATAATGTGGGATTTTCTGCCTTAACATCCTGGGATACAGGGCTGTGTGTGGAAGGGCCATGGATTATCTTGAGTCCACACTCGGATAATGTGGGATTTTGTTCAGCTGTGTGAAAGATCCCTTCGAAACTACCTGTGCAAAATAATACAATTTAACCCCGCTTTTATAACTCAATGCTGTCGGATCCTGGGAGTTGGGACTGTTCTCCTGCCTCCCCAAACTGCAACTCCGAAGGTTATCTTAGCTCCCTTCCACACAGCCCAGTATCCCAGAATGTAAAGGCAGAAAATCCCACAATATCTGCTTTGAACTGGGTTATCTTAGCTTCCTTCCACACAGTCCTGTATCCCGGAATATCAAGGCAGAAAATCCCACAATATCCGCTTTGAAGTGGGTCCCTTCCACACAGGGCCCTTCCACACAGCCATATAACCCAGAATATCAAGGCAGAATAACCCACAAAATCTGCTTTCAAGTGGGTTATCTTAGCGCCTTTCCACACAGCCCTGTATCCCAGAATATCAAGGCAGAAAAGCGCACAATATCTGCTTTGAACTGGGTTATCTGAGTCCACCATAGTATTCAAGGCGCATTCGTCCCGCCCTGCAGACCGCAACCAGAGGAATCCGGGAGCCCGGTCTGTAAGATCCAAACGGCTTTTCCTTTCCCTCCGAGGCAAACTTTTCGCACGCTTTCCTCCCCTCCGGGCCCAGGTCCTCCCACGCGGTGTGAGTTTGTTGTGTGTGGACGGGGCTGGCAATCCTTACTGGGAAGTGAGAGAGAGAAAGAGAGAGCTTAGTCTGGTCGGACTGGTTCTGCCGGAGAGGAGGAAAGTCTAGCGCATCTCTTGCCTCCTCTGCCAGGCCAAGAAGTGGGCAGAAAAGAGGGGAGAGTCATTGGAGGGCGACTTTAGGGTTGCCTTCCAGGATGGGAGGAAGGAGAAGGAACCAGAAAGTGTGTCAAGGTGCATCTTGTACACCAAGCCTAGGCAAACTTGTGCCCTCCAGGGGTTTTGGACTTCAGCTCCCACAATTCCTAACAGCCGGTAGGCTGTTAGGAATTGTGGGAGCTGGAGTCCAAAACCCCTGGAGGGCACAAGTTTGCCCATGCGTGATTTCGTTCACTTCCTTATTAAATAGGTGAAGAGCCTTGTAAGAAGCCAAAGGAAGGAGAGAGTCTCTAGCTCTTGAAACTTCCCCACTTGGTCGCTAAAGGCAACTCTGTGTTTTCTCCCCTTCTCTCTGCGTGAAAGGGGAAATCTTCCACTTCTAACTCGAGTGGAAGTTATAGATTGGGGCTTCTGGTGCACAAGGCGCTTTCGGTGGAAATTAATCCAGATTTATAAACCTCCCAGGCTATTAAATCTGTTCTCTTGTTTCCAAAAGGAAATGGGGAGGAGGGCAGTGGTTTCCTGGCTAAAGTGTTTACAAGCCGTCTTGGCAGTTCTTTTGGCTTGAGAAGATTATGAATCCCTGAATCTGCCTGGATCCACAATCCTCTTAAGCCTGTATGTTGATGGATGCATCCTCACATTAGAGTTAATTCAGTTTCACAGCACTTTAACTGGAATTGGTGAGGCACCAACCTTACACATGTCTGTTGCTTTCCTTTCCAATTAAAGTTGGTGCATTACCAAGCTACAACTCCCAGGACTCTCATGATATTAAGCTATGGCTGGTGAAGTGAGGTCCAACAGCATTTTAGATGCGCTCAAAGGCCATGGGGCAGTTGGGTAGCCTGGCTTTTGAACATAGCCCACTGGGGAAGGGAAGCTCCCACCCTGGACATTCCACAGATCTATAAACCCAAATTTCCTAGTTTCCAACAGACCTCAAAACCTCTGAGGATGCCTACCATAGATGCAGGCAAAACATCATGAGAGAATGCTTCTGGAACATGGCTATACATCCCGGAAAACTCACAACAACCCAGAAGCTCCCTCTGTTTGCTTATTTGGATTGGAGCATCCCAAGAAGTTTTTCACAGATGCTGCCAACTCCTTTGTCTCAAAAATGAGGGCTTCTCAAAGGCTATTCCTAGAAAGCAAGCTCTATGGGGACATATTTCTAGGTAAATTACCCACAAAGCAATCTCTTTAAAAACACTCAGAAGTAGGGATAACCAGTCCTTTGTTTGGTCTGCTGTGAAAAAGTCCTGCAGAATTTTTTTTTAAATCTCACCTTCTCTTCAGCAGAACTCCCAATTCAAGGCAAACTTGCCATTGATGACATATTTTGTTGTTTTGTGCCTTCATGTCATTTCTGATGTATGGGTGACCTTATCATAGGATTGTCCTGACATGATATGTGGCCTTCCTCTGAGGCTGAGAGAGTGTGACATACCCAAGGTCATCTGGTTTTTCTGAGAGAAGATCCAAACCCAGGTCTCCAGAATCCCAGTCCAAGCTTCAAAACACTAAGCCATGTTACCTTTATTCTACTCAGAAATAAAAATTAATTGGGTTTTGAAACATTTCATCCTAGGTAAACTTGGGTATAGGTGAATCCTTCAGGTAGGAAGCTTTCTGGAATGTTTAAATTCCAGGGCACCTTTCAATAGGGGATAGATTTCCATTGATCAGGTGAGAACTTTGTTTCATATGAGAGACTAGAGGGGAGAGTAAGATGAAGGAAAAATATATCTCTGAGAATATACAGAGATCCATCCAGTGGGCCATCTTGGTCTTCCAGCCAGGGAGATTTTGAACTATTAACAGGCTGGCAGAGGGGCACCGATTAGCCTGTTTTTGCAAGTGGTGTTCTATAGTTATCCAAGGTAATGTCCTGTGGAATTGGGTACCTGTGTTTTGGAGCTTAAGTTTCTCTGTTAGACTCCCCCTGTCCCCCTACTAACAAGACAAGAGTTAACCCTCTCCTCCTCCTTTTCCTGCCCCTCCATGATCCAACCCAGGGAAGATTTGGTCGACCCATAAATCAATTGATCAGGGTTTGAAATTGGCCTTCCAAGAAGAATCTGGGCTTCAGAAACTCATCCTTTGGAACATACCAAATCCTCAGACATCGGTGGGTGTATGTATTAGCTTTTGGCTTGGCGGATTGGTGTTAACAATACCCTTTTTTTCTTAACAAGCCCACCCCCACCAGCAGTGAATTTGATTAACTTTTCAGTGGCCACAAGGGGAGGACAGTGTTTAAAATCCAATTTAGTTCAAGGTTTCCCAAGCTGAGATTTGAATTTGAATCTGAAGTGGAACCAAACAATTACAAGGGGGAATATTGCAAAGAGAACTTGTAACATCTTTGATATTAACTTGAGAGAAAGAAATTGTAGCATAGGATTTTCATCATTTTGTCAGAGGCTTGATCTGTTTGTGGTGTCTTTTGGATTGCACCATATTCTTAAGATTTTTTAGCTTAATCTAAATTGGGTATAGGTAAATTATAAGCACTTTAGCTTAATCGAGCTTCTGGTCATTTTGCAAATACTCTCCTCACTCCAGACCTCCAGAGGAATGTTGTCCCATTTTTATAATACATTGAAAAGATGGAAATAATTATTTTTTCCACCGTTCCTAAGAAATTGATTTTTCCATATAACTCATGCTTGCAAATTGAAACAAATAGTTCAGATCTGAATGTGTTTTGTTGAAAAGCAACATTAAAGTAAATATGATTTCCTTCCAAGGAAATGAATGTGTGCAAAATGTTTTTTAAATCCTGAGACACAGTCTTGTATATACTTAACTTCTTTTGAGTAAACATAGGACTGTAATGCAATTGTCAAGTGTAGTGACTAGTTGTTTTTGTAAAATCTCTGCAAATATGATGTGCCATTGTTTGAAATTGTGTTCACCACAAACAATTTGGTTTGGGATCAAGATGCTGGTGATTATGGCTTTGATACAATCCATTTCATGTAAGTGTTTATGAACTGTGTGATGTCTGTGATTTAAATTAACTGGTCCCTCCAATTATTGAGGCTTGAATATTGCCAATAGGCTCCTTGGTTTTAATCTGAACTTTCATGCTTTTCTTGTTAATTTATATTAAGATTGAAGGACAATATTGCCATTTCAGTGTAAAATTTCATTTATGTCCGTAGTTTTTTGTGATAATTGTGTATTGATGTTGTTTATTGCTAGAAATGGAATTGTGTAGTTTAACTGTTATGATATATTGATTACTGCTGTTTTTACTGTCTCTGTTGTTTGCTTTCTGGAAACCGCTGTGAGTCGCCCTAGGGCTTGAGATACAGCGGTATACAAGAATAGTAAATAAATAATAATAATAATAATAATAATAATAATAATAATAATAATAATTTTCCAGTGTAACTCAATAGCATCTTGACAGTCTTTTCTTCGAATGACTTTGAAAAAGTAGATAAAGATTCTAAAAAATTTTATTCCACTTTTTGGAAGATAGATTTTTAGAATTTGGTTTTGATGCTGTTGCAACTCCTTTAGTTTTGGACCTTGTGAGGATTGTGTTTGGAAATGGTTGCTTGCTTAAGTCAATGATTCCAATGAAAAGTATGTAGATTTGTTCAGAGTATAGAATGTCTTCTTGGATGATGACTCCCAGGTTGTGAGAACATTTTGGGAATTGGTAGTCCATGAAAAAAAAACAAACCCTGCACACTCTGGGTATGCTTGCAAGTCCAGTAACTTCTGCTTTGAAAGGTAAATTGTGCTCCTAGATTAATTAAATACAATCGTATTTGCTTCCAGATTACACTGTGGGAGTGAGATGCAGTGTTAAGACCTGCATCATAAGCGTTGAAAGGGTCTACAAGGATTATTTTAGTCCAACCCCCAGCCATTCAGGGATATACAGCTAAAGCCATCCTGAATGATGCTCAGTACTCTTCCACATTCTCCATTCAGTAAGCTATTGATTGTATAGACCAAAGGTAGCCAGCCAACTGTTGGAGGCTAGAGTGATATATTGGCTTCCCAAAATATTTTGGAGGGCCAAATACCTGGAGGACACTCCCTGACTTATAAACATAGGAAGGGAAGTTCACTCCTGGAAGAGTTCTCATGGGGAAAAAGTGTCTCAAGTTTTATTACCAATCCTCATTTCCACAACAAGCCAAATATTTCAAAGTCCAATTATCACAGTGACAGAAAGTAAAGTGAAATCTTCAGAACAGGAGCGTAGATAGCAAAAGAAGATGCTATCCAAAGTCATCTATCTCCTGGATGTGGTTACACTTCTTAAAATGTACCTGTTCTGACTTGCATACAAATTCAACTTAAGAACAAACCTACAGAACCTGTTTTGTTTGTAACTTGGGGATTTCCTGTGCATTTTATTCTGGAAAAAGGTTTCTCCACCCTTGCTATATGATCTTCCTAGGGATGTCTCCCCCCTTGTTGCCTTCCTCCTTAATCTATCTAGTGGACCACTCATTGATAAAGCCTCTTTCTTTCCATAGGACCGGCATGATGGTAGCAGCAATGGGAACCCCAGACTGCCCCACCTCTCAGCCGTCAGCCAGCACTTGTACAGTCCGGCTCCCCCGCTTTCCCATTCAGGGGCTTCGGATTTCCAGCCCCCTTACTTTCCTCCCCCTTACCAGCCTCTACCTTACTCTCAGTCCAGCGACCCATATGCGCACCTGGGAGACCCGTTTTCCATCAACCCACTCCACCAGCCTCCGCCACCGCCTCCCACCCAGCAACAAACCAGCTGGCCCAACCGCCAGACCAACCAAGATCATTCCAATCTCCCTCATCCTGCCCGTTCAGGCTTGGTCTCTCATCTCCCAAGTCTGGACAGTGGCTCTGTTGGGGTGAGGAGGGATGCCTACAGGCGATCAGAGCTCCTCCTGCCCCATGGTCACGGTCTAGATGCCTCCAGCCTTGCAGAAAACCTTGGACTCCATGAAATGGCTCATCAGATGGAAGAGGTCCAGGTAAAAAGATTGTGGGTACATGGCTTAAAGGGGGGAGGGAAGAACCACATAGGCCAGCTGAGATCTTGGAAGAGTTGCTTTTCTGGACCTAATGTTTCCAGAATCCCCCCAGTGATCATGGATGTTCACTGGAGGATTCTGGTTGTTTTATGTCCAAAAACTACTTTTTTCAAGCCCATAGTGGAACTTTTGTATTCTTGCCTAGACAGGTTTAGGCTTACAGTGATTAAATTATAGTTTAGCAGTGAGCTTTTTAGTTAAGCATGGATTTGATCAGAGGATTCCCAAATACTAGCTGACATTATCACAGTTCCCTTCTTTCAGCCTGGTACCTGGCAGGTATTTTGTACTATAGTTCACCTACTCTGGGGATGATCAGAGTTTTCATATAAAACATTTGGAAGGTACTGGTTGCCCTTGTTTAATTAAGACACTTAATTGTTTCTGAAGTTTATTTACATAGATCCTAGCCCTAACTCTATTTTGCTACTGCCAACAATAATCAATCCATTGAATTAATTATTGAATGGTAGTTCAATGTGTATGTCAATCCCATGGGTCCCATATCTCTCCTAAGGGAGACCAACAATTGGTTTTGAGTCTTAAATGTGTAAAGACATCTGCCTACCATATATACTCAAGTATAAGCCAAGTTTTTCCAATACCCTTTTTAGGCTAAAAAAGCCCCCCTTGTCTTATGCTTGAGTCAAAGTTATTTATTTTAGTGGGTCAATAATAATAATAATAATAATAATAATAATAATAATAATAATAATTTATTATTTTACTCAATTTATTATTACATTTACATTATTTTACTCTATTATTATTATTATTACATTATTTCCCCCTATTATTATATATATTTTACTCTATTACTGTTATTATTACCAGTCCATTATTTTACCCTATTATTATTATTTTATTATTTTACTCTATTATTGGAAGGATTTGCAAGCACATTTACATGGAAGAAGTTTAGAATAATGGTTTAATCAGAATTGGACAGTCTTATCTTAAACTTCAGTTTTATGTAAATATTCAAAAATATGTAACCTATGGATGCCTCAATTAATATAATTTTATTGGTATCTATTTTTATTTTGAAATTTACCAGTAGCTGCTACATTTCCCGCCCTCGCCTTATACTCGAGTCAATACGTTATCTCATTTTTTTTTGTGGTAAAATTAGGTGCCTCTGCTTATATTTGGGTTGGTTTATACTCGAGAATATACGATATTTTAACTGGACTTCAATTTTAAGACAAAAGCAATGGGATGCACATGGATTGCCTCAGTGGTTTAAGTAGGGCTAGTTTCCGTACTAAGCAAGCACAGGAACGCAGCTAGATCATATGAATGTAAAGTGTGCAGAACTACTTACTGCTGGTTCATGAAAAAGTCCCACTGATTTTTTTTCAAACCTGTTTTTTGCAATTGGCATGTTAAAAATTTAGGTGTATAAACTTCTTCTTGCTTGTGTCAGGATTCACTAGGGAAAAGATTGTATGTGTGTGCTTTTGTGGCGGGGAGGTGGGGCATACATCTTGTTCTATGATTGTCTCCTAAACATTTCACATTCTCTCTCCAGAATGTGGAAGATCAACATTTATTAATGCATGACCAGACAGTCATTAGAAAAGGTCAGTAAGTCTGCATTCTGCTGTTTGTTATTCTCTTGCCTTTTTAAAAAATGGGGACGGGGGAAGAGGAGGGGGAGAAGGGGATATCAGTGTTACTAATGCAAAATGTCTTATTGGTGGTGGTTGTTTTGAAATAAGATTTCTTTTCATGTGGTTTTCTAAAAAAAATATCGAAAGGAAGCTTCTTCAAAACATGAAAAACAAGCTCTTTCTCCCCTCTTCCAAGCTTTCTACATGAGCTCGCATGTGTGCCTGGGGCTATATTCCACAACCCATTTACTCCAGTGTAAGTTGGTTGTGGATTTGACCTGTCTCTGTGCGGTGTTTACAATACAGTGACTTTCTAAGGCCTGTCTTATTTGGCACATGCAACTGAGTCCAAATAAAAAGGATTTAAAATAGGTTATCAAAGTGGTTTAGTTTGAATTTTTGTTTCCCAGGAACAAGCAGGAAGGATTTTCTTTCCTCTTAATGTAACGTGTAATTTACAAATAAGTTAATTTGGTGTGTTCCCGAAAAGTGCTCCCTAGTTATTGTTGCAACCCATGCACATTTTAGTGTTATGATTTTGGTTTGGGAGCTCTTCTATTTATATAGCTTCCCAGAGCTTGGGAAGGTTCCTGTTTCAGGTGATAATTGCCAAACCTCCTCAGTTAAAGGAAATCTGATATTGTGAAAAAAAAAATAATTTATGACATTGTGGATCTAGCACAGACCTGGGCAAACTTTGGCCCTCCAGGTGTTTTGGACTTAACTCCCACCATTCCTAACAGCCTCAGGCTTAAGCAGCTGAGGGGGGAAAGGAAGGGGCCTGAGGCTGTTAGGAAATGTGGGAATTGAAGTGCAAAACATCTGGAGAACCAGTTTGCCCAGGCCTGATCTAACAGCTAATGCAAAGCAGAAATGTCTGTTGCTATTGCAATTACTCTTGTCAATTTTTGATAATTTTTCCAAAATGTCTTTTGTTTGGAAACTCAGATCACTTTTGGAAGTGTTTGGCTTTGCAAACGAATTATGGTTTTGGATTTTTTAAAATTACGATCTTCTATCAATATGATTGGGAGAAGGAAAGAAATCTTATTAATATAATTTTGGGGATGTAATTGCAGAACTCTGAATACAGGAGATACCAAAACATGAGAGATACGTGCTTTTATTTATGGCAAAAGCAGCTTTTATCCTCCAACAGACAAGAGTTCTTTCAGGACCTTCCTCAGATATATTAACCTCCCTTGCTTAGTTTCTAATATACTTCACAACCTCTGAGGATGCCTGCCATAGATGTGGGTGAAATGTCAGGAAAAAATGCTTCTGCAACATGGCCAGACAGTCCAGAAAACTCACAGCAACCCAGCTTTTAATGCTCTTTATTGATAATAGATTTATCTTTAATGTGAGTGAATTTGTGAAACATTTTCATTTGATGAAAGAGCGGCCCAGAAGTTTCATTTCCTACATCCCTTTCAGTATTGGAACCAAGGCAGTTATCACCACTTCTATGAATAGTTTTTGTAAGAAGTGGTTTCTTTTCCTTGGCTAGAAGTATTCACTTGCATGGGATAAAAGTAAAAATTTCAGCCGACATCAAGAGCAGGGAGGAATGAGTTAAGCTTACTGCTGGGCACTTCTAAATGAATGAACAAAAGGTTTGGTTAGGATTTATCTGCACTGAAAAGCTTTTCATTGGTAGTATTTATAAGGCTGGGGGAGAGGAACCAATGGAGATAAATTCTCTCAATCTTCTCTTGCTTGCTGACTCAGTTTCTTCCTTTTGAGTTACTTTTTAAAAAATATTTTGGTAAAAAAAATGAAGGGTTGTTTTGTCTGAATTTTTTAGAAAATCTTGAAATAAATTAAAAAAATCTTTAAAAAAACCCAGCAAAAGTATTTTGCTGGCAAAACTGGCAGAAATATAAACTAAATTTTCCTAGTTTCCAAAAAAAAACAAAAAACCTCACAACCTCTGAGGATGACTGCCATAGATGCAGGCAAAATGTCAGGAGAGGATGCTTCTGGAACATGGCCATACAGCTTGAAAAACACACAGCAACCCAGAAGTGTTTTGCTTTAATTAGCAGATTAACAGTCCTCTGCCTGATTCTTGCATTTGGTGGTGTAATCTAGCCTTTTGTAAACTGGTACCGTCCAGATGTGTTGGGACTATAACTCCAGTTATTCCCAGCATGGGAAGAGGGCACTATGTTGGCCAGGAGTTGGTTTAGCCTTTCCTAAAGAATTTGTACAGTGGCTGACCTGTGGGCTTGTATTTGCCAAACAAGACACCCCTTTTTCCTCGTTTCTCAGTGAAACGAATTTTGTATTTTCACAGCAGTAATAAACCTGGTATTTTCTGTTAATGGTTATGAAGTATTAGTTCCCGAAAGCCTCACCATTCTGAATTAAAACTAGTCTTAGTACAACCCAACATGTAGCCATTATCCAGTTAAACAGTGATCTTAATACAAAACAGTGAATTTCCCCCCTTAAGATGACTACTAATTGTGCCTTATATTTCTGTTTAATTGTTATTTTGTATGTAAAGACAATGGGTTGCATCATGGCAGTTGCCAAGGGGGTTGAGCAGTTACTCTTTCATGTTTTAAATAAGATTGCTTAATAATGTAAAAGCAGATCATGTTCATATTTAAGGGAAACGAGTGCTTCAACTGTCATTGTATAGTAGGTGGTGGTTTGCTTTTTTCAGAGAAGAACTCAAAAACTCTGACAAAGTATTTATACTGAAAGTTTCAGTTAAGTAATATAATCATTTGGGCTGTAAGTTCAAACATGGGCAGTACAATTGGTTGGCTTTCTTGTTCTATAAGAGTCAAATTTATTATGTTTTTGCAAAGATGTAAGCTTTTTAAAAGGGAGGAGAAAACACACGACCCTCTCTTTATGTCTCGGTCCTCTAGGTCCCATTTCATTAACGAAAAACAATGCATTAGGTCTCCCTTGCCAGAAGGACGGGCTCATCGGGGTCGTGATCAATCCCAACGAGGTTTTCTGCTCCGTTCCCGGCCGGCTTTCTCTCCTCAGCTCCACGTCCAAATACAAAGTGACAGTAGCAGAGGTTCAGAGAAGGCTCTCTCCCCCGGAATGTCTCAACGCTTCTTTGCTGGGAGGAGTTCTCAGAAGGTAAGAGCCTGTGATATATATATATATATATTTCCCCTTTCCCTCTCTCTTCGCTTTCTCCTCGTCGCTGCCAAAATCAGTCCTCAAAGTGGTGTTTCTTGGATCCTCTGAAGCCATACAACGTACAAATACCTTCTTGGCCTCTGATCAGATATAAATAATAAAAAAAACCCACACTGCATTCTAATAGTGTTTATTTCCATGCTTTGACTTCACACTTTCTGCTTCTTTTCCTCCTCCTCCTTTGGCACTCTTTTTGCATTTCTGGAACTGAGAAGTGTTATAACAAGTCTAGAAATGACTTCTCATGTGAATATAATTTTTATCTCTCCATAAAAAGAAAACATTTTGCTGCAGACTTACTATGTGTTTCAACTCTTTAATCACCTCCATATTTGTTTCAATATTTTATGTGGTATGGACTGAAATAAATTGTCCAGTGATACAGGGTTATTTGGTCAGAAGAACCATTTAAAAGATTTGTTAAACGTTGCTAATTGGATGTCCTGAAATGTAACCTGTGCTTTCCTGCTCATACTCCTATAAGGTGCAAAAACTGTCAGATAAAATTGTGTATTTAAGAAATTACCTGATAAAGTCTGCATATAGAACTGCTGTTAGAGCAGGTATGGGCAAACCCAGGCCTGGAGTATGGATGAGGCCTCTTGGGCTCTTTTTTTCAGACCAGCCTATCCTTCCTTCTCTCTTTCCTCCTTTTCTCCCTTTTTCTCCTTCTTTTCCACCCTTTTGTCTTTCCTTTCCTCCCTTTCTCCTTCCCTTCCCTCCCTTCCCCCTTTCCCTCTTTTGTCCTTCCCTCCCTGTTACCTTTCCTTCCTTCTTTCTCTCTTCCCTTCTTCCTTCCCTCTTTCTCCTTCCATCCTTCCCTTCCATCCTTTTTTCCTTCCTTCCCTCATTCTTCCCTTTCTCCCTCTTTCTCCTTCCTTCCTTTTTGTCTTTCTTTATTTCTTTCTCTCTTTATCCTTCCCTTCGTTCCTTCCATCCTTCTTTCCCCTCTCTCCCTCCCTTCTGTCTTTCCTTCCTTCTTTCCTCCCTTCCTTCTCTCCCTCTTTCTCCTTCCATCCCCCCCTTTTGTCCTTTCTATCTTCTCTTTCTTTTTTCCTTCCTCCCATCACTGTGCAGCCCGTCCTCCTAGCAATGAGTGCTAGCATGTGTAAGAGGCACAGTTTCAGGATAAGATTCAGAAGACTGTCATCTTAATTTCTGTTCGACTTGATAGGGTATTTGTGGTTAATAAGGTGACAAGGATAATAGCATCCCCAGAGGAAAAAGCGGCCTCAGAAAAAAAGAGTTGCATAACATTTGAGTATCTTAATTATGCATTTTGCAAACAATTGCGCTAATTCGAAACAGAAACACACTGCGCCTCCCCATAGTGGCTTTGTGCACTTTCTCAGCTTGCTACCTAGATGTTAACCGTTGATGGGCAACTTCAAGGAGTCTGCTATCCTCTCTGATGGATCCTTCATCTTTAAACCCAGACTTGGTCTGGATCCTCTTCAAATGAAGGCTGAATTCAAAAGAAATAGTAGCTGGCTATTTTCTATGAAATAGGGCTCCTCTTGCTTTTTAAATACTTTCTTGGTAAGCAGAGCTGCCAGTGTGCTTGAGGAATAATCAGGAACATGTGGCCCCCAAACAGTTGTCCCCTTGTCCCCATACATCTCTGGAAATGGGACTCTAGACTTTGATGGATTACACTTCCAGTTAGTGAATTGGGATTGCCATTTTAGTTCATGTCTGGGTCCTTCTATGAGGGAGAGAGGGCGGGATATGAAAAAAAGTAAATGAATGTCTCCATTTGTTTGTGTATGTATATATGCATCCCTGCAACAAAAGCCAAGCTCAGTGCTTGTAAAGATTTTTAATTTCCATTACAGCTGCCATCATAATTGTCAGGATTTTTGATGGGGCATAACACAAGGCGAAATCTGCCCCTTCCCCCTTCTTCTCTCTTTTCCCTTCTTTTTTTGATCTTGCTTTCTGATGTTTATGTGATAGAGCATTAAAAAGTAGGTCACAGCTTGTTGTGTTACAGGCTGCCTCTCTCTCTCCCCTCAACAGAAGTGTATTGAATATCAGCAACTTGTGTTTCCCAATTGCTTCGAAATGTGACCTCTTCAGAAATGCCGCTTACATAAAACATCCTCCATCTCTTTCCCCCTTTGCAGGGCCAAATCTAAAAATGGTGGTCGGTCATTAAGGGAGAAGCTGGACAAAATTGGCCTGAACCTTCCTGCTGGCAGAAGGAAAGCGGCAAATGTGACCTTACTGACTTCATTGGTGGAAGGTCAGTTGGATTCTTTTTCTTTCTGCAAAAGCTTTTCTGGAAGACAAAAGCTGACTTTTATGACTACATGAGGATGCTCTCTAAAATCAAGGGATGGCCAAAAGTGGTTTGAGTCTTTGGGTAGTTCTCCTCACTGAGATTTGTCATAAATGAACAAGGGCTTTTGACTCCTGTTTCATTTGCAGCAGTAACAAAATGGTTGCCTCCTCCTTTTGACTCACACTGCTTGAGGTGATAGAAGATGACAAATAACCGGGAGCAATTTTATATGTGAAAAAACTGATCTCATTTCATTCCTCTCATTTGAATGTATTGCTTTGGATACTTTATGACCCTCTTGGTGCAGCGGAAAACAAGCTATGTTCTTAATGTGTTTCAACCACATATGTATATGGTGATAGTATTGTGATTGTACCCCAGTACATTGTTTACAATGTACTGGGGTACAATGGGGAGTTGTAGCAACGGGTGAGAACAAAAGTAAAAAAAAGAAAGAAAGGGATGCTTGAGTGGACTGTTGATGCAATTTGGGATGTGTGTGGGGAAGGAGTTACATACATGAGAGATCTTACCCAGCCCTCTTACAGTTGTGCAGCAAGCCTTGGGAATAATGAGCTCCAGGTCCCACCCTGACCATCAGGCAGGACCATGCTTTCACTTTACTCACTCCCCAGCCTTAGTCTACTTCATTATACTCACCTCTTGTAGTCATCAAAAGGCCCACTCTGGAATTCTGGCCATTGGAAGCTGAACTTGCCCAATGGAAATAAGTATCGAACTGGCCTTTTTAATTTTAAATATGTACAACTGTTGTGTAGCATTTTGTATGTTTTGTGTCGGTAATTACAGTTGCTTTACTTATGCTGGAAACCACCCTGAATCCCCTCGGTATGATGATGATGATGATGATGATGATGATGAGGACCTAATCACACTACAGTGTCTATCCACTTTTGCTGTAGTGTCTCTGTAGAATTCAGGGATTTGTAGTTTAGTGAGATCCAGGACTTCTCTGGCTGAGGATTTTAAAGGCTCCTTCATAAAATCATAGCATTGAGAGGCCTCAGGGCTATTCAGTCCAACCCCCTGCCAAGGAACATTCAAACTATCCCCGACAGATGGCCATCCAGCCTCTGTTTAAAAGCCTTCATAGAAGGAGCCCCCAGCACACTTTGGGGTAGAGAGTTCCACTGCTGAACAGCTCTAACAGGAAGTTCTTCCTAATGTTCAGGTAGAATCTCCTTTCCTGTAGTTGATGCCATTGCTCTGCGTTCTAGTCTCCAGGGCAGCAGGAAACAAGCTTGCTCCCTCCTCCCTATGACTTCCCCTCACATATGTATACACGGCTATCCTGTCTCTTCAGTCTTCTCTTCTGCAGGCTAAATATGCCCAGCTCTTTAAGCTGCTCCTCATAGGGCTTGTTCTCTGGGGCTTCTCTAAACTACAAGCCCCAGAATTCTGCAGGAGTCAGCCACAGCATTTAAAGTAGATAGACACTCTAGTTCAAGCATGGGCAAACTTGGGCCCTCCAGGTGTTTTGGACTTCAACTCCCACAACTCCTAACAGCTGGAGGAATTGTGAGAGTTGTCCAAAACACCTGGAGGGTCCAAGTTTGCCCATGCCTGCTCTAGTGTAATGAGATCCTTCTGTTAGGGGGACCTTTTTTTATTGTAAAAGCTTTTCAGTTATGGAGGATAACATATTCTCCATCTTCGGAGATGTTGAAACGAGGTTAGGCATCCTTTAGGCATGCTTTATTCACCTTCCCTGATTAGAAATGGAGCCATTCTTTGTCAGCCATTTTTTCCACTTTTAATGATGGAAAGGAATTGATCTACACAAGTCCCTGATATGGTGGATGTAGAGGAGTAGAACAAAGAACAGTGCAGTCCTTCAGATATTCCTACAAGAACTGAGACAGATAGAAGGATATTCTGAATTAAGTGTCTGGTTATTCTGATGGTTCTGGAATTTTGCACATCAGAGAATGCAGTGACTCGTTGTATGTCAGCAGGAAGCCCAGAACTGATTTGACTTCAGTGGAATTCTTAGAATTCCTGACTTTTTCTTTGGGAGTGGAGAAAAGTGTTGGATTCAGTGGAATTCTCATAATTCACATTCCAGAGTGGGGAAAAACTTCTGATTAGCTCTAGCCTCATTTTTTGTATCTACTGTATAAATTCAGTTCCTTGATTCTAATTGAATCTGTGCTGTAATTTTGTACAATTCTTTCTATTTTCAATTCTTAAGTGCACACAATATATGTCATCCTGAGAGTTGAGATTAATCGTAGTCTCATGAGTTCAAAGTCCAAATATTTGCCAAGTTGGTAGAGGCTGATGAGAGTTGTTATCTGGAGATGTAAATTCCCCATCACACTGAGTTATGTTTCATGTGTGAAATCATATTTCTAATGTTGTTCAGAGTTTATTTGCTACTTCATCTTCAAGTGTGGGTAAAACTCAATCCTCTGCATGTTGCTGGCTGGTTTTGGATAATCTGTTGGCATTGAATTTTCTGCTAGAGCTTATCGGAGTTATACTGTAGGTCAATACCTGCAGGTCCCCCTGACAAATCCTGACCTACTTTGTTCAAAATGGCATATGATGTCCTAAGACAATTAATCAAAAGTAAAACACAATGCACCATTAAAAATAATCTTGATTATTTAAAAAGTTCAGCAAAAAAGCTACGCAAAATAAAAGTTTCTAGTACCTTTCCATAATTTTGGCATCCTAATGTCTTCCAGAATAAGTCTCTGAATGCATCTCATATGGAAGATGTAGTAAACTTGTTTCTTTGGTCCTGCTACTAGAACTTGTAACAAGATGTGTCAATTATAGGGAAAATCCTTTTATTATATGTTAGAAAAAATGTTTGGGATTTTTATTGGAGGTTTATAAGGGGAGATAACATGGGTATTTTTTTGGGAAATTTGTAATTGTATTCTGTGTTACAAGTCCTGTTGATCAAGGGGTTGAACTAGAAAATCCCACCACTCCTTTCCAATTTACCATTCTGGGTATTTGTGGGGTGGGCTTGGTGATGGTGGTTAAGGAGAAAGTGTAGCAAAAAACTCAAGACAAATAGAGTGATGTTTCATAAAAGGAGGGTCACAAAATCCCATGTTTCACAACATGTTTGTATAAGTGTTGAACTTAGTTTTTTTTAAAAAAAAAACACACATAGAACGCTTATACCCCCTTATGAAGAGTAGCAGAGTTTACTGGATCAGTGTTACACATTTTGCATAATGCAGTCAGCCCTCCACATTTGTGGATGTAACGTTTGCAGATCTGATTAATATGTTCCCAGTGAATCTCTAGGTCCTCTAGCATGGTTATGTTCAGTTGCCAGAAGTTTGCCACAGAATTGTAGATATTCCCAGGCCCTTACATGCAATCATATAACCCAGGATATCAAGGCTGGAAATCCCACAATATCTGCTTTGAACTGGGTTACCTGAGTCCACACTGCCATCATATATCCCAGTTCAAAGCAGATATTGTGGGATTTTCTGCCTTGATATTCTGGATTATATAGCTGTGTGGAAGGGTCCCTAGAAAGATGTTCTCTCAGGTTAAAAAAAGATTATTTTAAATTGATGGTTATCCCGCTTTCACTCTAACCCAAGCAGATGTGGAAGGGCTATTGTACTCTCATTTAAACACACACATACTAATCAGAGGTACCTAGATACATGTTCTCCATGAGTAAAAACAGAAAGCAGGGTTGTATAACAGCTTTATTAGGAACACTAACATATCCAAAAAGGTGGTCTTTCAGCTCTATAGAACCTTCTTGAGTAAAGGTGTTACAGAATTTAGGATGCAGGAAGAAAAGTCCGCCCCCCCCCCCAAAAAAAAAAAAACCCTGGATAACAAGTTATATCCAGTGTTCATACTGGATTAGTCAGCTTGAGGTGCAGTGCTATTTGGTTACATATCAAAAGATATACAACCAATGACCCTTTAGACAAAAGCTGTCAGCTGTGTTTGCGTGGAACCCTGGCCTAGCAGTTCAAAAGCATAGTGATGCTTACTGCAGGAGAAGCAGGTCAATGACTGAACTACTCTTCCTGCAAGTTTGCATAGTTTTGGGTTTGTTTAAGATTTGGTGCTATTTCATTCCCATGAAATAATGCATTGGAATAGAGTGCTTTGGAGGAAGGTGGATTATTGTTCCTTGAGTAGAATTTTGAGAGCCATTTCTTGGGGGTTATGTATTCCTGCATGGCAGGGAGTTGGACTAGATAGCTTTTCAGATCCAATTCTAAGAGTCTAGCTCGCACATGCACATGTAAAACACACCTCCTTTCCATACAGAATTGTTTAGAAGGATTGGGCTCCCAGTCACTTGGTCTCCAGTGGGCTGAACTAACTTGTATCTTTTGCTTAATTGGATTGTGGACTGGATTGTCTGGGTAGAATGCAAATGCTTTAAAGCAAATGGCTGATGCAGTAGTTATTTTGATGAGAGTGTCATCAAGCCCTTGGATGAGTGTGCTTTGGTTGAAGCTGCTTAACAGCATGAGAGGTAGTGCAGTCGACAGCATGAGCAACCTATGGAGTTTCCGTTGCCATGTTGCTTGTAAAACCACTACCTGCTCAATACATGGGTCTGGTCAGTGAGTACACAAAAATATTTCTGTACCAAGAACAGCTTACCAAAACCAAACCAAACAAAAGTAGGGATAGATACCAGGATATGAGGATAAGAATTTAGACCAGACATTGAAGGCTGCCTTCTACTAATTCAGAATATTACTCTGTCAGTTGTGATTGGCAATGGCTTTCCAGGGTTGCAGGAAGGATTTCTTTCTTGGCCATCTTATTGGATGCTGGTCTGGGAGCCTGTGGTTCTCCAAATGTGAAAATCCAACTAGCGTGGCCAACACAATGTGATGATGGAAGTAGTACAGTAGACCCTCCACCTTTGCAACAGGGGAAAGGGGCACACAATGTCCGCGAAAGTCTGCAAATAAAAAAGGCAATTTGCTTTTCCTAAAAGACACCTCTCTAGGAATATCTAGGTCCTACAAAGTAACTTTGTGATTGCCTTCTGGCAGAAAAGGACTTAGAGGAGGACCACACTGGAAGACCTAGAAATTGCTAGAGAGGACATACTATCAAATGTAAAAGGTAAACATGCAAATGCGGAGATTCAACTATAATATATCCACATGTTCGAGAGATGCAGGCCACATCTTTCAGCATTAGGTATATATACAACAAAGTGGTTTCTGAACCAGGTATGAGGCAGTAAAGAAGATTTCTCTATTTCTAAGTAGCTGTTTTTTTTAAAGTTGTGTTACTTGTTCACCGATGAATGGGATGGAGGGTAATAAACTCATGTGTTGTGTGAAAGAGTGTTGGGATTTGGGTGATCTATAAACCGAAGCCACACCCATGCATGTGATGTTGGCCTAGTTACCATATCTTGCTTGTTTAACCTGACCTACATCACAAAGTTATTTGTAAAGAAAATTTGACGGGCTGGGTGTACAGAAAGCATGGGCAAACTTGGGCTCTCCAGGTGTTTTGGACTCCAACTCCCACAATTCCCAACAGCCTATTGGCTGTCAGGAATTGTGGGAGTTGAAGTTCAAAACACCTGGAGGGCTGAAGTTTGCCTATGCCTGGGCTACAGTATCTGTCAGCTCAAGCTCACTGGTGGAAGCAGGTTAACAATGTGACTAATAAAAAAGTAAATAAGTGTCTGATAGAAAAGATCTCTGGGATGAAATTAATAAACCAAACTTCTACTTCTTTTCCATGTTTTTATCCCAGGTGAAGCTGTTCACCTTGCTCGGGATTTTGGCTATGTATGTGAAACTGAATTTCCTGCTAAGGCTGTGGCTGAATATATGACTCGTCCACATATGGGTCGCAATGATTTGGCTGCTAGGAAGAACATGCTGCTTGCTGCAAAGTAAGTATTTGGACTGATTCCTCCTTGACTGATATTTCTGTAGAATTCCAACAAAATCCAAAGCGCATCCGTATTCTTGTGTCTTTAAAACCTTGGGGATAAAAGAAAGCACTGGCAAATTTCTGGTCGATTATTCAACATCAGCAGCCAGAATAATTCTTGTCAATTGTTCTGCTGAAATGAACTTGGAAATGGTTTTGTAATCAACAGTACTAAGCGTACTTATACTTAAAACAATTCCCTGAACTCACAAGGTCTTTGATTCGTAAGTACAATATGTCTTTTCATTGATTGGGCTTGGCTGGTCCTACAAGACTGTTGTCTGTTCACTCTGCCTTAGGCCCCTTAAGCACAGTTGAATAAAATCCCACATTTTCTGCTTTGAACTGGAATATATGGCAGTGTGGACTCAGATAACCCAGTTCAAAGCAGATACTGTGGGATTTTCTGCCTTGATATTCTGGGTTATATGGCTGTGTGGAAGGGCCCTTAGAAGAATGATCTAAAACTCAAGAGGGTTGTTTAGTAGATCTGGCCAGTTCCCATTATGAAGGTTGACCAGTGTATAAATAAAGAAATAATGAGGAGGCCATGAGTCCTTTAACTGCAGCAAAGTGAGCTATCTGGTCAAGGTCTCTTCCGCCATAGTGAGATATATCACATTCCGGTTTCATATTGGAGTCGTAATTTCTAAAGGCATATGAGCACATGCAAATCTGTGCCTTTCTTTTTTTCTGTACTAGTTGAGACTTGCCTATTTGCAGTTTACTTGGAAGAAATTTTCAAAGTAAGAGCATGAACAAGCAGTTGGCTGTGCATATTTCTTCCTGGCATTGTAAACATGGGCTTCTGATGTTCAGGGCCGATTGAATCATTTGGAGTTTTACACAGTCATTGTTGTTCAGTGCAGACTAGAAATAGGCAAGCTGCCACTCTACACATGTTTTGGAGCTACAATTTCTCTTGGTGTTAACTATCAGGATTATGGGCAGTGCAGTCTAAATCAACTGGAGGGCACCAGTCTACAGCTCCCAGTGAGGACAATAATCACCTTCACATAAGTAGAGTAATGCCCAATTGCTACAATGCCACCAAAGTTCAGGAAAACCAGAGTTTTTCCAGGTCAGTGAAGACGAGAATGGCCAGTGGATTTGCCAGGAAGAACTGAAGGACAGCCCTGCAGTTTTCTTGCATTTGCTGGCCATGGATGTGACTTTACTACCTTATAATAGTAATAGACCTGGATGCAAATCAATGGCTCCTTAAGACCTAAACCTAACCTTAGCTGGATTGTCCTCTATGCTTTCCATTTGCTCTCTGAGGTTGAGGGCTACTAGTAGCCAGTGGTTGAGATAAATTTGCTCTTGTGTTGTCGAAGGCTTTTATGGCCAGAATCACTGGGTTGCTGTGAGTTTTCTGGGCTGTATAGGTGTGTTCCAAAAGCATTCTCTCCTGACATTTCCCCCACATCTATGGCAGGTATCCTCAGAGGTTGAGGGGTCTGTTGGAAACTGGGCAAGTGAGGTTTATATATCTGTGTAATGTCCAGAGTGGGAGAAAGAACTCTTGTCTGCTTGAGGCAAGTGTGAATGTTGCAATTGGCCACCATGTAAATCTACCATTTTTTTTTTACTTTTTCCCTGTTTTATTATATGCTGTTGCTGTAATGATAAGGAACAGTGCTAGCTTTCGACTAACACCTGTAGCATTGTTTCTGGTTTTTGAGATTCCTAAGGTTTCTGTATCTGCTTTAGAGCAATAGCATATTTTGAAAAATCCAGATCTGGGGATAATTAAATCTTTGAATAGGAAAAAGGGTTTTAAGGAAGACAGTTTGAAGCCCCAGTTGAGCTTCCCCTCGGTTGCATTACTTCTTAGCTATTGTTTGCGGATTGCATCATTCTGGAACAGAGCGTTGCCTGTTTTTGCATTTGTGGCTGGAATTTTTAAACGGTGGTTAAAGTGAGCAGGAAGAAACAAGCACTTTTTTGTTGCAGTCATGTATCTGTGAATGTCTGCAAGATCAAAAGACATCATGTGTCTTTTTGTGATACAGATCAAATCATTGCAGTGTTCCCCCCGTGGGATTTTTCAGTTATGAAACATGCAAAAGATCTGAAGCATGTCTTAAGAATATGTTGCCACCATAGCTTGGGAAAGTTTCAGTTTTAGACTCAAAGACTCCTAGCATTTCAAAGTTTACATAGTCACACTGAGTGGAGGGATTCTGGGAACAGTAGTCTTTAATACTAAGCTTTTCCAAGCTCTGTATTTTTCATTTCTGTAAACTTGTTTCTCCTGTAGAGTGCCATGTACCTTCTTTTGCAGAGGAAAAATTTGAAAGATAAATAAGGGGCAGGATGGGGATTTTGGCCATCTGCAGTTGGCACTTGCATAATAGACCAAGTAGGCAGAAAGGCCATAGTCTATCTCACTAAGATGAAATGTGCCTCTAGTTGAATTATTAGAAACATTTCAAAATTTTGACTCTATACATATGCATTAGAGGGGCCGAAGTAGCACAGTGGTTAAACCGCTAAGCTGCAGAACTTGCTGACAAGAAGATCGGCGGTCTAATTCCGGGGAGTAGGGTGAGCTCCCATTGTTAGCCCCAGCTTCTGCCAACCTAGCAGTTTGAAAGGATGCAAATATGAGTAGATTAATAGGTATCGCTCTGGCAGGAAGGTAAAGTTGCTTCATGTAGTCATGCCGGCCTCGTGACCTTTGAGGTGTCTACGGACAACGCTGGCTCTTCAGCTTAGAAATGGAGATGAGCACCACCCCTAGAGTTGGACACAACTAGACTTAATGTCAAAAGCAACCTTCACCTTTTCCTTATATGCATTAGAATATTTATGTCTTCACTGCCATGTATATGTAAACAACCACCTGAGTTACCAGTGACAGCTATAGATAAATTCACTGTCCCTGGTAAGCTGTTTCCTTAATCTTGCTAGGCACAGATATTCCTGCAGATCTAATTTTTAATCTGATTAACAAAGCAGAGGCAGGCAGAAGATCCTACTGGAGAAAAAAACCCAGCATAAAGCGAACATTTGTCTTGGATTCTGCACAGAGGAATAACTGTATATTATGATACTTAAGATAAAGCATATTGTGTGGTTTGTGAAACAGTTTTCAGTTCCCAAAGAATCCTGGTTTTAATTAAAAGTTAAGTTGCTACTCCTTAAGATCACAAAGGTGTGACTGAAATGCACCTCATCTAATCTTTGTGTTTTTAAAATAAGTTGCTTATTTGCGTATGGCCTTTAATTTAAGTTGCTAGTTGTAATTTTAAAGACCCGAATACCTTCTGGAGGTACTTTTCCCTCAAATTCATTCTCCTGTTTTGAGTGCCGCCTGGCATCTTGTACTGCATTTTAAAATGGTACTGTAGTTAGGTTTGAAACGGCATTTTGGCTCTCCTCTCCAAAGAAAGGTTACAATGGATGTGGGGAGAAACATGTATGCCAATTTGAGCACCATTTAAAGAAATGTTTTGTGCAATTCCTTGGTTGTACAAGCCTCAAGATTCACCAGGATTTTCTAAATGACAGGAAGCAGCTTTGCTCACAGCAGCCTGTTGTGTGCATTAGACCTGTGATTTGAATTGCCAACATTTTTAAAATGTGCCTTTTGTATGTGTTTGTTTCTTGTAGGCAGATCTGTAAAGAGTTCACTGAACTTCTGACTCAGGATAGAACCCCCCTTGGTAACGCAAGGCCAAGCATGATCCTCGACCCTGGCATCCAGGGCTGCTTAACTCACTTCAGCCTCATCACACACGGCTTTGGGAGCGCCGCGATCTGTGCCGCCATGACATCCCTCCAGAACTACTTGAACGAAGCGCTAAAAATAGCAGACAAAACATACATGAATGTGGGAGACCAGAGCCCTGCGGAAACCAACAAAAGCATTGAGAAGATGGACAAACACCGGAAATGAGAGATAGAGGCAATAAAAGAAGAAGAAAAAGAACAAAAGACTTTTAAAAACTGTTCTCGCACATAGACTTCCAATCTTCCTGCCTAGAGGGCATGTAGATATCTGTTACAACTTACTTTGGGGCGTGTTTTATTATTACATTGTTTTTAAAAGCATCCTTCTGTGGATCCCCCGTGAGATACCTACCTGTCTCTCTCTCTTCTTTAAAGCTGCCACTATCCATTCAGTTGTGGGACCAGGCACCAGAAGGTAACTTAGGTACAAGCTTTTTTTAAAAAAAGGATTATTTACACAATCAAAAGTGGTGCTATTTCTCTCTTTTAAACTGTTGAAGTCTGTGATGTGCTATTTTTGAGACGCTTGGTCAAGAACCATTTTCTCCCTTGTATATTTTTGATAGCCTTTTGGTTTGATTGAGACACAGCACTAATCCAGAGCTTGGGAAGGTTGTCTTTGGGTGGAATAAAACTCCCAGAGTCCTCAGCTGGCTGAGGAATTCTGGGAGTGGTAGTCCAGAGTTAACTTTTCCAGGCTTTGCACTAAATTGTAGTCTGAAGTGCAGTGCTGAGCAGCATGTTTTTCTCTTGATCCTGTTGTTGGACTGCAAGACTCATTGGCCCTAGCCATCATTTGGGCAGCTGCTGTTAGCTGACATCAGGACTGCACTTTGCCCATTCCTGTGTGAGTGATAGGCTAATGAGCTTGTTGTTCAGCTATCAGGTGTGTGTGACCTCCCTTCTCCATGAATTACAAGAAGGAAATTAGCACCATGTCCTTCCTCTTTTAATATTACACCTAGAAAGAAGAAATATGGTTTACTTTAAGCTGGCTTATTGTTACAAACCAAGATCTTCAAACCACACTTTGCTCCTCCTCCCCTCTCTCCTGCAGTGCATAATAGATGCAGTTGGCCCTTCTATCCCTTTCTTGGCAGCTACAATTTCCCTGGCCCCATTGGCCACTGCTTTCTTCCTGCGTGTTGTCTCCTTGTTCTTTCTTACTTTAGTAACAGAAGGAGAAAAGCTGCTGTCTTTCACAGAATCCAGTGCTTCAGTATGTCACCCTTGTAGTTGCCACTAAGTACGGGCAACAATTGCAATGACGGGGAATAGTGTAGTCCCTGTAGTGTTGCCTGGGGACAAATGCATCCATAGCACTGCAGATTTTGCTCATCCCTGGTTCACACTAACCATCATTTACACAAGCCACAGTTTGTTTGTTTTTAATATGAACAATAAACCATCTTTGAACAGGAAGTAGATGTTTCTAGTCTCCTGCTTGTGGCTATGAGGAGGATGAAATGGGAAGAGAGAATGGATAGGGTAAGAGTAGACTCTTTTTACTTAATGCTAAAACTTTAAATTAGCATTGTTAGCAACTAGGCTACAGTCGGTCATAATGCTCCATGGGAAGCATGAATTGGAGGCTCAGCTTGAGACATTTTCAGCCCCAAAACAGGGGAGAGTCAAAGGGCTGGTCGACTGCTTCCAAAAATCAGGACAGCACCAATGCTGCAACACAGGGCTAGATGAAACGACTCTTATAGCCTCATCACCAAAATTATGCTTAAAAATGCTCCCTTTTTAAACTTGCCAATTCCAAAATTGCATTGAATGGAACCCTGGCAGTTAAAGTGGAATTATAGTGCTATACATTGCATAGTATGAATGGCTCTAGGAAGACGTTCTGGATCCCTCATATACTACACAGCCTCTGAATTGGCTACTGAATTTTAGTTGGAATTATGGTGACAGTGGTAGGGTGGAGAGAATGCATCTCCTAAAAGAATAGGATGGTTGAGGTCATTTTTGATCCAGTCATTCAGTATACAAAGGAATCTTGCAGCACCTTTCCAGCTGACTGAAAAATTGGCAGCATAAGTTTTCCTAGACTGTTTATGCTACCAACCTCTTTCTCTTAGTTAGTCTCAAAAGGAGCTACAAGTTCAGTGACCCAAATGGACCCAGCTACTGTATATACTCATGTATACATGAGGGCAGGTTTGTGGGTCAACATTATGGGCTTCGATGTGATCCATGGATAAGTTGAGAAACATTCCAGGGAGAGGAAAACAATACCAATACTAACTCGGGGCCAGCTGATCCTGGCAGTCACCACCATTTCCTCATTTGAAAAGGCTAGAACAGGCATGGGCGAACTTTGGCCATCCAGATGTTTGGACTTCAATTCCCACAATTCTTAACAGCTGGTAGGTTGTTAGGAATTATGGGAGTTGAAGTTCAAAACACCTGGAGGACCAAAATTTGCACATGCCTGAGCTAGAAGCAGTGCCATGATGGAGAGTAGAAGGGATTGGTCCTTTTTTAGATTATCCTTTTGCCACTTAAGTTAGAGAAGGGGATGGTCCCTTTTTAAAGTCAGAATGAGGTACAGTACCTAAATTGACCTCTGGATAAGTTGGCCCAAGTTTTTGGGGTTGATTTTTCTTATTCATATTTCTAGACTTATACATGAGTGTATAGGTTATGTCTTTGATAAGTAGTTCGGTTCAGTAGGATCTTACCTGATCTTGGGAAATGAGCAACGAAACAAACTCTATGAAGTATTACCCCCTATTTGAATTCTTCACAAGAGACTCACAATTCCAGCCAAATTTCAAAAGGTTAGGTTTCTGTCTTATTATAAAAATGATGTAGCTTTCCCCAACCTGGTATGTCTATAAACTACCGTGACAATCACTTGCTCCTAGGGATGAAAGGAGTTGTAGTTTGATAAAGCTGGAATGCAGCTAATTGGGAAAGGGCAAAATCATGTTTTGGATGATAAATTGGTTTGGTTTTTAGGAAATAACTTGGATATATAACTTGGATATATGTGTACTGTTGCATTTTCTAATGTAAGTGCAGCTTTTGCAAGACTGCTATGAGTGGAACAACAAGCACTAAAAGCATATTGTAGAGACCCTTTTTACATGTGGAAAAGTTTGATTATTTTCACCCCTTGTATATAAAATGGTCAGGATATTGCAGCTTTATAATTCATCGTCGGGTCTTGTGATTTTACAATAAGAAAAAAACTTGAAAGAATAGGCACATGTTTAATTATTATTATTTTTGCCTACATTGGCCAAAAACCTATATATAAAAATATAAATATATATATATATATATCCAGGGAGGTTTTCTGTGTATAAGGGCAAATAGTGTGTTGAATGTATATATTTATTTATGTATAATTTAATAATGGGATTTGTAAATAATTGTGAACATTTTAATACTTTTTTAAATAAATGGGCTTTAGATTTAAAGTCTTTCCTGCATCCCAGAAAGAAAAGGTAACGGGTTAGCTCAGTACATTGTTAGATCTGTACAGATCTGTTTTATGCTGGGTATTTAAAAGACTTTTTATTTAAAATAATAATAAAAAATAATAAAACCCCTTTCTATTTTTACCACTGAAGATTTATATGTAATCTGAGGTGTGTGTTAACAAAGCAATAACTTTGTGTATTTGGTAGCAACCATTTGAAAATGAGTGTGAGGGCAGTTTGTTTGGGGCTGGGGTGGGGATAATAGCAATCATAAAATGATATCCCTTTTGGTTTTGTAAATGTTCCTCATTAATCCACTGCCATTGTATAGGATGCTCCATATAATAAAAGTATTCTGAATAGAAGTATTGAATGTTGTTTAAGTGGAAAACATGTTTATTTGCTTTTTTATGTGGGTTGGGCAGCAGAACACCACAGACGTGGACATTGTAATTGTATACACACACTGTTTTTTCTCTTTTTCTTTTGAGTACATCAGATTAAAGAACAGACATGGAAAGCTGAATGCCTACAAAACCTAATGGTTTCAATTACTAGTAATAGTCTCTCCATCTTCATGTCTCTTTTCTCCCACACCAGCATCAAAATGCAATGTGGTTGAGCAAACAAGGAGCTCAAAAGTTTCTTTAGGCAGAATCTTTATATATTTTTTAAAGTACATAAGAATAAAGTCACTCTGGGGATATCAAAGACATACCTTCCACTTGTTGAAACTTGGCAGAAACAATCCCAATTCACCTCTCCTGTTATCTCGCTTTCCCAATCTACTTTCAAAAGATCCTTTCTACTGTGGTGATTTTGGTTTTGGTGTTGGGTCGTGATTTTGGATCCCTGCTCAGCCATGGAAATCCAGTGGATGACCTTGAATGCATTGCATTTCTCAGCCTCAGAGGAAGGCAAATGCTACTCTGCTCTGAACAAATTCTGTCAAGGTTGGCAGGAGTCTTCAGATCTTTGCTCACAGTCCCTAAGACAGTTGAGGATCCAGACTAGTTTGAAAAAACCCCCACTCTAAATGAATTCCTATGCACACGGCACATATCTTATTTGCAGTGCAAAAACACACAAAAGAATAATACAATATTTAAAATGAAGAACAATTTTAATCAACATACTAGTATTTCAGTGGGAAGTGTGAGCCAAGTTAATTAGTGCTGTTTTGTGCCTTCAAGTTGTTTCAGACTTAAGGCGATCCTAACTCTTATAAAGTTTTTGTGTGTGTGTGTCGAGAAAGACTTCAGAAATTGCAAGTTGCTTCTGGTGTGCGAGAATTGGCCGTTCTGCAAGGATGTTGCCCAAAAGGACACCCGGATGTTTTACTATCCTATGGGAGGCTTCCCTCATGTCCTCACATGAGAAGCTGGAGCTGACAGATGGGAGCTTGCCTTGCTCCCCGGATTTGAACTGCTGACCTTTTGGTCAGCGGTCCTGTCAGCACAAGTGTTTAACCCATTGAGCCACTGGGAGCTCCTAATTTTAAAGTTTAGGGCAAGGAATGGGTAAAAGACTTTAGAGGGTCACATCCATCCCACAGGCCTTAGTTTGGGGACCCCTGCCTTAAGAGCCACCATGAAGTGGAAAGGTACACAGTGACACCTTGGAAGGATACACATATTCACTAAAAGTATCATTTTAAAAAATTGCTTTCAGAATTTCAAATGCTATTTTGCTTTCAGAAATTCAAGAACAGTGCTTTGGTTATGTATTTCTGCACAACAGCAGGCTGAACTGGATGATCCTTGTGACCATTCCAAGCCCATGATTCTATGACACCATGATCAAATAAAGGACTTTCCATTTTAGTTGTGGTCATGGCTCAGTGGTAAATCATTTGGATAGCATGGAAAATTGGCAGGTTCAGTCCATACCATTCCCACTTATAGGACAACTGGGGGACAAGCCTTATGATGAGGTGAAAACATGACAACACTTGAAAAGCCACTTGGTTTACAAAAAAATGGGACAGTGGTTTGAACACAGCTGTTTTGTGTATGCTGATCTAAGAATGTGCTTTGTGGTTTAAAATCTATATAGGTACAAATTCTGAAAGCTTGTTTCCAAGTTGAGGTTTCCAACATGAGGTTTGCATATATCTGCATAAGCTTAATGTACGTTTTGGGGACAGGGATGGGACAAGGCATGACACTAATGCCCCACATGTGCACTATAATTATTTTTAACCAGGCATTGCTCATATGTATCCAAGCCTACTATAGCTCTAAGACTTAAAAACCAGACTCAAGAATAATCCTTAAAAATATGTTTTGTATGTTGGCCCAGTGCAGTTGCAGAATACACAAAATCATCAAATATATTTCCAAGGATGAGTCCTAGTCAAAATGGTGATCTATGAACTGGTGCCTTTGACAGCTCCTTTTTCAGGAGATTCCAGAAAAGGAGCAAAACAAAACCAACAATTGTATCCAATGTGAACAAATATGGTGCCAGTTCCTGAGCTGCAACCTGCAGCAGCCTTACCAGAATTGCCAATGCTGATGGATAATGGAAGTTATAGCCTAGTGTCTGGAGGACCACAAGTTGTTTACCATGAGCAGCAGGATCAGAAAGTCACAAGTGGACTCAAAGTGGAGCTCAGAAGTTTTGAAGTGCCCCTATCCTCAGGATGGAAGAAAGAAAACCAGCATATTGCAAGTAGAGAGGGTGATTATTTGAAGGCATTTGTAGTGAAAAATAAGTGTTACATGTTAACAAGAGTTACAAATTCCATTTTGAATTGGAATGCCATGCAGGGTGTTCAAATTGTCATTCTTGTGCAACAATGTTGAAGCTCAATGATGAAGAACCTTGCTTAAGGTTTCTCTTGTCATTTTGTAACACTTTTTTACAATTGTAATAGTGTTTAATTTTTTGGGAGAAAAGTGACTGAAAATTACCCAGAATTATAACCTCTTAAGGGCATAAACATTTTAATGGATTCCAGCGAGGGAGAAGGAGAGAGAGGGA